TCTGTTCTACGCACCTTTATCCACTCTTAATCTATTGATCTATACATTCTCTTCTATAAAACTATTTCTTTCAGATGATTCTTCGTCATTCGTGCTACCTCCTTTTGAAACTCCTAAACTATCTCCATGCGCCAAATCACGTCTACAAATCCCTTTAAACAACTCCAATTCCACCACTTACTTCATAATCAAACTTCTGCAAACATGTAAAATTTACTTACTACAGTATACTGTATAATTTAATTAACTGTACTACTGGAATTGTAATCAACGGTTAATTAAGCATAATTTTGTATTCTCTAAGCCAGACTAATGTTCATGGAACTCATTCTCACTTATTATTCTCAGAATAAAATTATTTTCTTTTCATTTCATTTCATGTAAATAGTTATTATATATTAAACATTTAACATTATTTTAAATAATTTAATTATTGTTTTAATTTAATGCCAGGCTCTACAATAACTAACGAGGTTTTTCAATCTTTAAAATTTAAATAACTTTCCTAATAATTTTCCTTTAAGTCCTAATTCGCCTAATGTTTTTATTTTAATTTAAATATTTTATTCTTTTAAATCAGCCAGAGGAGGGCATACATCTATAGAATGAAAAATATCTTCCACTGTAAGTTTATCCATCATAATTTTGCCTACTAGTAGAATATTATTACTATTTTTTTTAATGATAATTGAAAATTATGTCTGAAGTATATTATATTATGGATTAAGGCTAAACACTGCAAAAACTCAAGCCATTGTCATTGGTTCCAAACCCCTTCTCAGAGCCAATACCAACATACCTATACTGTACCTAAATGGCAATCCCATTACCTTCACCTCCTCAGTAAAAAACCTAGGCATTTTCATAGACCAAACCCTATCCTGGAAACACCATATTGCTCACATTACCCGACAGTCAATTGGTACCTTGAAACTATTCCATCGCTTCCGCCATCTCCTACCCATCTCCACACGTATACTCCTAGTAACTTCCCTCATCTTCCCCCACCTTGATTACGGCTGCGTGGTGTACGGTGGCCTCTCGGCAGAACTCGGGGAGAGACTGAAAAGAATTATGAATGCCTTCGTAAGATTTGTCACAGGGGCCCTGAGGTATTCCCGTGTTTCGCACCACTATGCTGAATTAAGATGGCTCTTTCCTTCCTTCCGAAGACAATATTTCCTAGGCACATTCCTTTACTAAATAATCAATAGTCATCGTCCGTCCTACGCATACAATCTCCTACAATTCAAATCATCTATCCACACCCTCTCCACAAGATCTCGCCCTTCTGACCTTTACACTCCTTTCCACAGATCTGCATCATTTAAACATTCCTTCGTTGTCGGTTCTACTGCATTCTGGAATTCCATCCCACTAAAAATCCGCCATGCATCATCCTTATCCACCTTTAAAACCCTCTTATTCCAATTCCTCTTCACAATCCAATCAGACGCTGGTTATATAAATACTATGTTATAAGGATTTAATTTTCTTTAGACATTATTTTTTTTTCTCTTATTTTTTATTGTTTCACACGTGAATTTTCATCACCACTCACTAAGCATTGTGAGTAGATAAAATTTGTTTTTCTTAAGTTCTAATTTGTTATTCATGAAATGTATTTCAGTGAAAGGTATTTTATTTCTAATTATCTTCAACATACTTCTCGCTATGTGTATATGTATACTTTATTTTATTTTCTCTTCTCCTAATCTTTACGCATAATCACTTAAATATCTTAGGGAACATATGTATATCATTATTTGTTTTTTTATATTTTTTTGTTTTAGTTTTTACAATTTCTTTTTACAATCACTACAATGCTTTACCTATAAAATAGATTTTACTTTCCTTTCTAATTTCATTCAGTGATTATTATGCATTTATTTTAGTTCCAATATTGTAGTACTGAACCCCTATTACCCAACTGTCCTCGTTAATTTATCCTAAGAGCTTAATTAATACTTAATGTATTACATGTATTTTGTTATTATTCATTGTAATAAGTCTTTTGACCAGATTTATAGTTAATATATATGAACAATACTGTTATTCTAAAGAGACCTAGTCCCAGAATAAAGATGATTTTTCTATTTCTATTTCTGTATTTAGGTTATAACCCTGTGCAGCTTTATGTTATCTAATGGATCGAAAGCTGATGTGTTATACCGAAACCATGTTTTGGGCCCTCAGCGGATAGCTTACCCGGAGTAGTGAGTGTTGTTGCGAACGGCATGTTTGCAAACCACTCCACACCTTGCTGATACTGTGTCTCCTCTCTGCCTGGTTAAATAAAGTAACAAGTGCGTAACGGGACGATTTTACAGTTTTACATGTTAAAGTAACAGTTATACGAACTAAGCAACTCAACCGCTAACGCTTACTTTGCTGAATAACTGCTAAATGATAAAAATCTTAAAACTTTTCGAATTATGTGATTCAGTGTTAAAAAAAAAAAAAAAAAAATAACCACTATATAGTTTTAATTCTATTCAAATTGGGATTTTTTAAAAAACTTTATGTTAACGTTTTATCAAATTTGCCAGATATACTGAACCAACTGTGTCGTAAAACCAATTAATAATAAATATTTATTTTTTTGCAACAACAAAATTTTTGTTGAAATAGTTATAAAAAAAAATATATCACCTACATATAATTGCTTTTAGCGTCTACTAGTTTCTCATAGCTATGTTATCTTTTCTTTTCTAACGTAGGCAACAATAAATACAATTTATTTATTCTTAGTTTGTTACTTTTAACCGAACACCCTAACCATCTTCTCTTCAATATACCTACGACATTTATTAATCCATTGTCATAAAAAATTTTATTAACAGAAAACAAAGTAGCTATAACAAACAAATACTCATTAAATTATAATAATATGTATAAATTAAATTAATAAATACTACTTAAATTTCAAGATTTATTATATCTTTTTATCGTTATTATGTCAAAGAAAATGCATGGTGTGGTATAGTAAGATAAAATCAATCACTAAACAGTATCATCAGAAATACCAAAGGTTTTGTTCTTAAATTTAAGATAAATTTTGTACTTCATCGATGTCATTGTTTCAAAAACATGTTTTATAATTCTATTTTTATTCTTTTTAACATTTCCACTTGTGAAAACAATTTACTTGAGCATTTAAAAAAAAATTCGTGGCTGGTACCGATTTCAAAAGTAGAAAGAAAAACAATTATTATTTCGATTATTTTAATTCATGGCGATTTTTAGATCAGACATTAAAAGAAATATTATATATTGAAGGTTAGTTTATATTGCAGATTGATTTTCAGTAGTTTTTTTTTTCCTTTAACCCCCCTACGGATCCAGAAAAATAAAAAATTAATACTCAAATGTTAACGAAAATCCATACTTTTTTTACTCCTATAAATAAGTAAAAAAATATGGTACAACTATTCAATAGCTCCGACATTTTTATGCACTATTTGGACCAACAAGCAAAGAATATTCTTTTAATTTTATTTAAAAGAACAACGAAAAATTAATATTAGAATACCAATGAAACTAATATATATATATATATATATATATATATATATATATATATATATATATATATATATAGAGAGAGAGAGAGAGAGAGAGAGAGAGAGAGAGAGAGAGATTAAATTTAGGTTTCATTATTGTTAAACATGTATTCATGTAGAATCCAACCACAATACCGTGAAATCCGGAATATCAAGTTTCAGTTTTATGGTACTGCCTTATACAAGTAATAAATGAATAATAATAATCCAGGTTTATTGACGTCATTTTCATGACAAAAGGCTCTCCCGGAAGAGGTACAATTGAGTTCAGCTCTAAAAGTTTGAATATTGCATTGAAAATATTAAATATAGAATAGTGTAGTAAAATATAAAATAAAACACTCAACTCTTATTGAAACATTAAAGGCAAAACAGAGACAATAAAATTTGGATATATCCTTTTTAAATTAAACCTTCAATAATAAAAATGTTTATGCTATGAAATTTATCAAACTAATAAAAGCATAATAAACAAATAATTAATCGTTGTTACACTCAATTTAATTTAATTAATAACTGGTACTGACGAAACAGCTCTAGCTACACATATCAACAGCTAAAAGAAGAAACGTTTATTATTACTGGTTATTATTATTATATTATTATAAATTATTATTATATTAGATGACAACTTTGCGATAGGACGATGTATTTATGTTAGAAATAATTATTAAAGGAAAATTGACTATGACATGTCGGATTCAAAATAATTATCACGTAACAGGGAATGACGCTTTTCATAAGTTAGGGATTTCCTTCGGGACAGCTGATGGATTAAAGCTGAATTCCTTAAGTGCCTTTTTCTCTAACGGCTATAGAGATAAGCTGTTGAAATACGTTATATAATAATAATGTATTATTGTAATTTTTTGTTACATATGTAATGTTATTCTGGTATAAATTTTAGGAAATCATCCGATTGTTGATGAGTTCCAATTTGACGAATTATGAAAGTAAAAAATTATATCACTTTATTTTTAATTCTTTTACCAAAAGTAATACTTTAAAGAAACATAATGTCCTAAAATATTAGCAACAGGAGGGATCGGGGTATCTCAGTGGGTATGGCACTAACATCCAAAGCTCAAAGTTCCTAAGTTCGGATCCGGCTCATGACAAGTAATTATTAATTACTGTTTAATCGGCCGTCAATCGATCTTGGGATCGGTAGACCTCTTGGGGCACACCTTGTCTCTATAAAGTAGGTATTTTTAATTAAATAATAAGAGGGAAAACAAGTTGAGAGTGGTCTCGGTCAAAACACCTCATAGAACAACCATTGATCAAGATACAATACTTCTTTACATAATGGATAATAAAACCATGGTTTTGAGACTTGTTTGGATTGGTGCGACTTTAATATGTTAATTATTTATTTTATTAAAATGTGTAACTACGATGTTTTTTATTAAAATATTTCATTCTGCTATTTTACAGTGGAAGCACAGCAACGAAAGACAGCTCATGCTGAAAGACCTGGACTTCGATGCGTCGGGATTGTACAGCTGCGAAGTGTCTACAGATACGCCCATATTCACAAAACCATCTAATGATGAGGAGCTGATAGTTATGCGTAAGTTGGAATTAGCATGTGTATAAAAAAATATATAGACTTATTAGTTTTTATTAGTTACGTATTTAGTTGGATATTAAAGAAATAGTTAGAATTGAGAGAGTTGGTAAATGATGGATGATCCAGTTTTACACAACTTAATAGCAACCTTCGTGTATGTAGTGTGAAAATTTAAAAAAAGTCGGTCTTTTTAGTTTAATCAAAATTAAATCAGAACCAATTATATTTTTAAGCACTATGATTCTTTTATTACATTAAATATAATTACTTAGAAATATACTTATTTTGATCTTTAAAATATTTTCAGATTAGTTTATTTTAAGATCGGTTATAAATTTGTCATGATTGTAGTTAATGCTACTTATTAATAATCACAAGTTTTAAATCAAAGAAGGAATTAAATTAAATTAAATTTTAAATTAAGAATTAAATTTTTTGAAAATATAATTTACAAATCTAAGTTTTCTGAAAATTAATTTTAAAATCTTAAATTACAGAAAGCAAACTTTATTTTAAAATTATTAATATTATATTATATTAAAACTAGTTTCCATCCAATTTAAATATTATATGTTGACTCATAATGATGAATTATTTACATTGGAATTAAAAAATCAGTCTAATTAAAAATAATATACATATTTAATATCAGAAAATAATTATTAAACCCCTTCGCTCTGCTCTCTCCCCTAAAAAATAATATAAATTATGTTTGTAGATATTTTCACTAAAATGAGTTTTGACGAAATCACTGGCGTTATTCTACTTTATATTATTCAATATTAATATACTAAATATAGACTGAATTACACAAAATAGTGTTTTGGAAAATATTTATTATATGTGCTATAACTGGAAAAATCCTAACTAAAAAGACATGAGTCTCCTACATACAAGTGAATAGTTAACGTGCCGACATATAGTGTGTCCCAAAATAGGTAGCCTAACTGTTGCAAGACCAAGACCAGGACTGGTAAAAAAAATCGATTTTTTTGAATAAAAATTAAGGCAAAATAGTTACTAATACTTGACAATCTTAGTTACTATACGTAATTAATTGGTATAACCAATATAATTATGCATTTAAACCCTCTAATTTTTCATTCGGGCTTAGTTAGGTTTCTTCTATCTAAAAAATTACTGTAATTTCTCTATAGTAATAAGCTAATAAGTAACTGCAAGACCGTTGCGAGACTCTCGTGCAAGACCATGACCAAGACTGAGTTTGCAAGACAAAGACTCGTCTCGGTCTCGCATTTGGGCAATACTGCCGACGTATAGCCAATTTGTACATCATCAGGCAATAAACAAAAAAAAAATAAAAAAATATTGCTGTTGACATCTCACGAAGCCATCGAAATATGCATACTGAAGGAAAGAGAAGTTTTTATTAACAGCTAATAATAAATAATAAAAAGGCTTAGCGAACCCGAAGGTTCGATGCCGACACCACCAATCGCTTATTACACACCTCCCTCCACCGTTCGCCGTCCAAACCCAGTCCCTTCAGATCAGCTTTAATGCAATCTTCCCACCTTCGCTTCGGTCTACCCCTCGGACGCTTACCATTCGGCACAGCATATATTAACCTTTTAGGAATTCTCTCGTTACTAAGTCCAACAACTTTACAAGCCCATTTGATTCGCCGCGATGAAATTATCTCAATTATATTACTCGGATACAGTTCACCCAATTCGGCGTTGTGTAATCGTCTGAACTCTCCTGTTAACTCATCCTTCTTCGGTCCGAATATTCTACGCAATACTTTATTTTCAAAAACCTTAAGACGCTGCTCATCCCTTAATGTAAGCGGCCAAGATTCGCACCCATAAAGAACTGTAGGCAAGATAATTGTTTTATAGATTCTAATTTTTAAGTTTCGGGACAAAAGGCGCGAACTAATTAGTTTTGTCACAGAAAAATAACAAGCATTTCCCCCCTTCAGTCTAACCGTAATTTCTTCTTCAATTTCGTTTTTTCTAGTTATCGTAGAACCTAGATACCTAAACTTATGTACCTGCTCAAACATATTACCATCCATATCGATATCACCAGTAGTATCGCCATTTTTGCAGCTAACCATATATTTTGTTTTATCCACGTTTATTTCGAGTCCTAGTTCTTTACCGGCTTTCATTAACGTTGTCGTATTTAGTTTTATAGTTTCAAGGTCTTCGCTTAACAGTACCAGATCATCCGCATAGCCCAGCACGGATGTTGTCCCACCCAGATCCAACCCTTTCTCGGTACGCATTACCTCCCTAATGGCATGTTCTAATGCCAAATTGAACAGTGCAGGAGAAAGGGAATCCTCCTGTTTTAAACCCGAACGAACCTCAAATTTTTCGGACAGATTATTACCGATTCTAACTTTATTGAATGTCTCCGTCAAGCACATCCTGACTAGATTTACTAATTTTTTAGGAATCCCCTGCTCGATTAGAATATTATACAGTTTCTGGCGGTCAATAGAATCGTAAGCCTTTTTAATATTAACAGCTAAGAATAGTTATATTGAACAGCTGATAAGAAATAATACAAAGAAAACAAATATTCAAAAGTATGCATTACTAAAATATAATAATACGAAAAGTGTCGAATCAAATAAATGATTAAAAAAAACACAAGTTTACAAATTCTAGATAAAAAGTTCAAAAGTGTGTATAACATCCATTCCTAGCAAAACTACGTGGATACACGGCCATTCTGTATGTAATATTAGTAAGATAAGCAAAAAGCAAGAAAAGAGCTATGAGTCCCCAACATACAAATGAATAGTTAATGCCAGCTGTTCGCCAATTCAGACATCATCAGAGCATAAACAACAAAATTCAGTATATACTTTAAGGCATGGCTAGATAGATGGATAATCTATTATTTTTTCTAAAGGTTATAAATAAGTAAATGATATAAAACCGTTTACCAAAAACTTCTAAAGAAACATAATCATTTGATGGAAATAATGATGAAATGAATTAGAAACGAAAAAATATTTGTTGGTTTAATTTATTAAAAAATTTTGGAAAATTGAGGAGTGGCATACAATTTAAATTAAAGCATTTCCTCACCAGTTAGGGAGCAGGTGATGTTGCTTTAATCTTGCATAGCTTTAATCCCATTTATCAACTGGGATAGTTTTGTAATTTAATTTTCCTCATCTTCTTTATGGTGTATAGTTGATTCAACCGTCTTTTGTAGTACTTACGTATACCGTACGCCCTTCACTTATATAAATACATTATTTACTATAAAATCGTTAGTTATTAGTTGTTTTTTTTTTTGTTAATTAATTGTGAAACATTAAATTGTGCAAAAAAATCAGTTATGATTATTTCTTGTTACTCGCAAATAATTTTATATTTAATCAGTACTATGTTTTATATAGGGTTCTTAAGATCAAAACGTTTCTTTGATTGCGTTTTCTGACGGCATACCTATTTCAAGGGGCACAAAATATATACAACAGGCAGAAACTGTTTGCAAGAAAATAATGGAACTAGTAAAAAACTTAAACATATATTTATTATATATTACATTACTGCGTTGTAACTCATCAAGAAATTTGTTTTCCGTTTATTCTATCTTCTATTTTTTTTCTTGACGTTTGTTTACATTGTGAGGAGGAGATCTCTAGGCCATTGCCTTTTTAGTCTTCATTGAAGCTCATGAGGTAACAGAGGAAGGAAGGGACAGAACGACTAGATTTGGATGATTGAGAGTAGAAGAGTAGAGTGTTGTTTTATTCGTGTAGGATTTTACTTTTGGTATGTTCATGCCGTTGTGTATGGCTTGATTTGAAATAAACCAATGAGCATTGACGATTTTATGAAGTATTTTGGATTTGCTAGTCAGAATTTTGTTTATTTGGACGTTTTTTGCGGAACCCCAAATTTATTCTACATTTGTCCAAATAGGTCTTAGTATGGTGGTATAGATTAGTCGCTTGGATCGTCTGGTCAGTTCTTGCATTTTAAAATGATGTATATGTTCCAGGTGTATTTTCTATCCTAGATAGGGTACATAAGTTTTTGAGGGAACTGGACTGCTGTCTATTGTTACTATAGGACACTAACCGTTCGCAAGGAGAAACTATCCTGACAGTTACTGGCATTTATTTTAATTTTCCAGCTTTTAAACCACTATTCTAGTATGTAGAGATGTGGATACTGAAGTCCAGGAAAGGCATATTATTTTAATAAAAAAAATAAAGGAGAATAACATTAACAGTATCAGTATTAAATTGTCGACTAACTTTTTATATATTGACGTACTATTCGACAGACTTTAAAATTTAATGGACATATCGAAAGTAAAATTATGTATTAAGATCCAAAATATGTAAACTCCATAACTTAATTATGGTAATTATGTTAACCAGACTTGTTTGCAGCCCCTCATCTATATAACCACAATTCGCCCTATTCGCCCGGCTTTGTTATATGGTGTATCATTTTGATTTTATTAGCAAAACATCTGTCTAGAGGTTATATTATTTCCAATATAGGAATACTTTGGAAAATAAAAGTGAGACGGCCTTCAATGCAAAGAACAGTATACAATAAAAATATTATTTTTCGATAAATCCTTACACAAGCAGCTCTAAAGTTGCCAAAAACAGTAGCATTTCTTACTAATTGGAAGTGGAATAAATTGTTTTTTAATTCATCGCAACAGTTGGCTTACTAACTTTTTAACCTCCTAATAATAGCAAAAACACCAAATTTTTGACAAAAATTAAATCAACATTTGTTTTAATTTTTTTATTGATGAAATTTACAATAATAATACAACCAAATGTTAAAAGAGGAATATAATGACGAAAAAAGATTTGGTTGCACTCTAGTAGAAGAACTACATTTTGAGGTCCCGAGGCCCTCTTCTTTTCAGACGCCTCGGAGTGTTATCAGGAATTGGATGGTTCTAATGTTTATTATGGAAGGATAGGTATCAAGTTTGGGAAAAATCGTCAATATATAGGACAATAAATAGATGGCTTTATT